CCTGCTTCGCCTGAAACCTCTCTGCACTCATTGGGGGCCCCTTGGCTTTCACGCTCCACGCCTTGCTGCTGCTGCTGCTGCTGCTGATTACCTGGGGAGCAGCAGCAGCAGCAGCAGCAGCAGCAGCAGCAGCAGCGGAGTAGTGTGCCGGTGGCTTCGCCCCCGCCCAGTGTATACGACTGATCTCTGGCGCAGCAGCAGCAACAGCAGCAGCAGCAGCAGCAGCACAGCAGCAAAAGGTATTCCTCACTTCTATCGGTGGCTATGCAACCAATTCCCTACCTGCGTGCAGCCCCTACAAAGATATGTATGGCGCAGAGCAGCAAGACCCAGCAGCAGCAGCAGCAGCAGCAGCAGCAGCAGCAGCAGCAGCAGCAGCAGCAGCAAGAGCAGCACGGCTAAGGATCTTGCAAGGGAACGTATGCTGCAGCAGCTCCTTAAAGAGGATGAATTGCTGCTGCAGCAGTATCGAGGGGAAGATGCAGCAGCAGCAGCAGCAGCAGCAGCAGCAGCAGACTCCTTCAGTTTGTTGCAGCGCAACCGAGACAACCAACAGCAGCAGCAGCAGCAGCAGCAGCAGCAGCAGCAGCAGCAGCAAGTGCCTATCGATGCCTTGCTGATAGATTTCAATGCTCTGATGCATCTCTGTATTCACGGCCACCTTCCTTCTTCTCTCCCCGCCCTCACTTTGCTGCAGCAGCAGCAGCAGCAGCAGCAGCAACAGCAGCAGCAGCAGCAGCAGCCACAAGAACAACAACAACTCCTACAGCAACAACAACAACAACAACAGCAGCAGCAGCAGCAGCATCAGCAGCAGCAGCAGCATGTGCTGCAGCCCCTGCAGCCGCTGCAGCAGCAGCACATCCCGCTGCTGCTGCAGCGTGTGTTTTCTTACTTAGATTTGTTGGTGCGGCTGGTGCGGCCTCGTTCTCTTCTTTGTATAACCCTGGATGGGGTCCCCCCAGTAGCAAAGCTCTCGCAGCAGCGCAGCAGACGTTTCAGGCAGCAGCAGCAGCAGCAGCTGCTGCTGCAGCACCAACTACAGCAGCAGCAAGATCTACTCCGTGCAGATGCAGCAGCAGCAGCAGCTGCTGCTGCTGCTGCTGCAACACACACTGCAACAGCCTCTCGACCCCAACCCCCCCCCACCCCACGACCACCACCAGCACCAGCACCACCACCAGCACCACCACCACCAGCAGCAGCAGCAGCAGAAGCAGCAGCAGCAGCAGCAGCAGATGATAGATTTGATATAAATAGTATTGGCCCAGGCACTCGTTTTATGTTTGTTGCCGAAGCAGCACTAAAAAGATATATTTCATACAAACAAAAAAACAGCAGAGTTTGGGGCTGCATGCGCGCAGTTATACTTAGCGGGGCAGATGTACCCGGTGAAGGAGAACATAAACTCATGCAGCTGCTGACGCGGGGGTGCTGGGGGCCCCCCAGTGGGGCCCTTGCTGAGGCCTGGAGCAGCGAGGTACAGCAGCAGCAGCAGCAGCAGCAGCAGCAGCAGCAGCAGCAGCAGCAGCAGCAGCAGCAGCAG